TAAATAGCTTGTGTACATAGGCTTTTTCTTGTGAATGGAGGGAAGAGGGGGGAAATGGTCAAAGGTAACATGCAAAATGGGATCGAAGGCTATTGAACCGTGGTAACTGGGGTGCTTTCCCACTGCGACTTGCTGAATCAGCTCCCTCATGGAAGGCCTGAAGTGCATGAAGTGGGAGGTGAAGGAAACCAAATGCTGGCAATCCTCAACGTGTGTCAAAGCACATTGTTGCAACACACATCATTTTTAAAGACTGGAAGCAGTTTGGTTTTTTAAAATAAAAAAAAGTTTTTCCACCCTCGTAGGAACGTAGGAAATTGTCTTATGCTAAGTTAGACCATTAGTTCATCTAATTCAGGGTTTCCCAAACTTGGGTCTTCAGCTCTTTTTGGACTACAACTCCCATCATCCCTAGCTAGCGGGACCAATGGTCAGGGATGATGGGAACTGTAGTCCAAAAACAGCTGGAGACCCAAGTTTGGGGAACTCTGATCTAGTTCAATATTGTTGGTGTTGAGTGGTAGTGGCTCTCCAGGGTTTCAGACAAAGGTGTTCCTACTCCTATGCAGCGATGCCAGGGATTGAACCTGGAACCACTGAGTTTTGGCTCTTCCCCGTCTTCGTAACTATGCCTAGATTCAATAAGTCAATATTGTCCATTATTTTCCCTAGACTGCCCCTTTTCAGTCCTTCAGGGAGCTCACCTAGCCTTGTCTCCTGTTCCAAGTGTTTTTTCAAGTTCCAAGTTGAGATCATAGAGTGATATGGATTCTGACAGGACAGTATAACGCTGACACCACCAACTATTTATCCTTAACATCAGGGGTGGTGATGGTGGGGGGGGGGGAGTCATTTCACTCTGATGCTTGCTCAAGGACTGCAAGCCACGGATGGCGAACCTGGTCTACAGCTTCCATCTCCTGAACCAATGGCCATGTTGGCCAGAGATGGTGAGAAGTGGAGTCCAACAATATCACCATGTTGGCTACCCCTGGTGTAAGGAGCAGTTCTGTGAACTGACTGAGACTGAATCCAAACAAGACTGAATATATCAGGTGGATCAGTAACTTGGAGGTATAGATAGACACCTGCCATTGGTTCTTCCTGGTCACTGAGTCATGCAGCCTTGAAGTGATCCTAGAGACACAGATTAAGATGCTGCTCCAAGTGTCTTCACCAAGTAGCCTGAGGCCTTTTCAGAGGCAGGAGGACACACCCAGACCATGGAACAGTCTCTTGGACAGGCTCAGCTGGCGTCTTCTTTATGGTCTTTTCGTTGCCAGACCTTTTTATTCACCCTTTTCAAAGAATCATAGTATTGTAGAGTTGGAAGGGACCCCACGGGGTCATCTAGTCCAACTCCCTGTAATGCAGGAATCCTGCCCACAGCTGCCCCTGGGTAGGCTTGAACCACCAACCTTCTGGTTAACAGCCAGCCACACCGACCCAATAAATAACTTGCGATCTAGTTATCTAGTCTATCAATTCCTGGTCTGTTATGTTGTGTATCTATACCCTCTTTTTTCATTTGCTAGTTTTAAAATTCACACACACACATTCTAGAACAGGCACATCCAATTTCCATGAGACTGCAATCTACGGTACTCCCACTATAAAAAAAACTGGCAGTGATCTACCCATCAAAGCTGTTGAGCTTTTCTTGGGGAGGCTGAGCCAAAGTTGTTGAGCTTTTGGGGGGAGCATCAGTCGAAGTTGTTGAGTTTTTTTAATGGGGGGCTGATTGGGGTCCTGCGATTAACCAGGATCAACCAGGGACACCCCACAATCAACCAGTAGATCACAATCAACCTGTTGGACACCCCTGTTCTAGAAAATGCATGTTGTTGAGCACCTTATACAAAAGCAACAAATAAAGAAATGGCAAATCACACTGCAGAAGTATCATATCAGGATGGGGAGGGGCTGAATTACGGGCCTGGTTTGGGTGTGATTGCTGCACCAGCTCCAAGCTAGGACATTGACTTGCCTCTCTACTGTCTGTCCTGGACAGTGTGAGTGGCAGGGCTTTCAATACAGTAGTAGCCTGGCATTTCACTAAGTCCTATCAGACAGTGCCTGGGGATTGGATTGTGCCCTAAATAGCTACATGGGTGTGTTTGTGTGTGCGCTTATTTTAAACATTCAATATTGATATCCAACCAGGAATTAAATTCTAGTAAGTCTGTGCAATGCTTTCCTCACATGTCTTAATGCTGCATATGAAACAATCTCAGCTGATTTCCCCCTACAGCAGCAGCAGTCTGGTATCTTACTGGACGTCCCACTCAGCGCAGCCAAGGGGGACAGGGTTGTTGGCAGTTGTAGTCTAGCAACAGCTGGAGGGCACCAGGTTGGGGGAGACTGCCCTCCAGCAGTCCCTCTTCCCTCACTTTCAAGCAGCTGCTCGGGACTCTTAGTTAGAGGCCAATTACTCTGCACAACACTAGCGCCAAGAAAGTGGGCATTGTGCATAAGGAACAAAGTGCCTACTCAGTCTTCGAAACAAACTTCACTTTATCTGCACATCATTAGAAACTAAGAGTGCTTGAGTTCTTCCCCCTGGAGAGCACATGCCCATGTTTGGAATGCCTTATGGATGGAATACTTGAAGTGAAACAGTGTGTGTGTGTGTGTGTGTGTGTGTGTGTGTGTGTGTTTGTGTGTGTGTGTGTGCTGAGGGGAAGGAGGAGGAGAGAGGCAGCTTCTTATTCAAATAGATCTCAGATAGTAGTGCTGATAAACTTTTGGGGGAGTTTTTGGATTCATTAATCTTGCATTTTTATGTTGTGAACCGCTCTGAGATCTACGGATGAAGGGCAGTGTACAAATTTAATTGATAAGAATAGTAGTAGTAATAATAATAAAAATTCAGATGAGAACCTGCTTCTACCCTGATGAACACATGATTCAAATGCACACCCTAAGAAAACTCTGATTTGTATAATAATTCACTAAAAGCCACACTGAGGTTGCTGGATTTTCCATGGCACTTGGGTGTCTCCTCATTTGTCTCTCTAGCAATTTACTTAAACCAAAGATCCTAACAAATTGTGAACTGAAATGTATGACATAGGACATAAGAAAGTATTACAGAGGACTCCCATTGACCAAAAAAATGGTTAGGTTTCCAAGGTAAGGGGGGGGGAATCCAAAAACACCTGCTTTCCTAGTGTCACTCATTGCATGGGGCATACCCAATGAGTATATATCCCTGAGTATATGACATTCAACTGCTGATGCTTACTTATAAGTAAGTTCAGTGAAACTTACTCCCACCCACATAAGCATGCATAGCACTGCAGTCTTCCAGACTATTGCACAACATCATAAAATTGCTGAGCTGGAACAAATGTGAAGGCCACCATACCATTTGTTCAGCATGATTCTCCATTTCTGGCTTCTCCTACATGATTTGCTGGTACTGTATCATGTTCTGGATGGCAACAAAAAGCATGGGAGTAGCCAAGATTTTTGTTAGGGGTTTCTGTGGTTTTTTGGAAATCCAGTTGTTGAGCTTTGTTGAGCTTCTTTTTTTTTTTTAAAGGAAATCAAGGTTGCTGAGCTTTTCTTAAGAAAACACAGATAAAATTACCCCATAAATAGGACATTGCACGGGACAGGCTTCTGCAGGGGGCGAGGGGCAACCTCAGATAATTGAGTACTTTCAATGCTTTTGAATAATATTTGTGGATCCCGCTGCCCCCCCCCCCGACTACACCCATGGGTACAGGAGATGGGGAGGAAAGGGGGAGGAAATGAAGTGACAGGAAGCCTTTCATGGGAACAACTCCAAATCCTTACCTAGTTTGGAGTAAGGCATGACTTATTTTTATTTTTGGACTGCTCTTTTTTGCAAGCATGGTAGATCACAAAAGGTGTACGTGCACATGTAAACAAATACCCATGGATCTCAGGTTTCCTGGGCTTGGAGCAACACCCACACACAGAGCTGATGTTTTGTGCAAATCTGCTATATTGAGAAACTTGTATTAAAAGAAAGAAAGAAAGGTTTGTGCTTACAGGTAAACAGTTACCAGTGTGGACGCCCATAATGACCTCAGGGAAGGTCAGCCCACCCATGAAGTGGTGTGAATTAGAAGCCCCCAAGTCAGCACCCTCATAGGCACCTCTTGCCAAGCCCCCACCTCTGCCAGAGAAGCGGTGGCAGTATAGGTGCTGATCTCCTGCAAAGTCTTGCAAGATGTCAAGGAGAGCAAATGATCTCATGAGATTTGGGTGAGATATTGAAAGCTCTTTCACGGAATCGGCACCTGTGCCAGCACTGCTTCTCAACAAGTGGCGGAGGTGACACAGCTAGTGGTACAGCTGCAGTGCCACCGACAGGTGGCGCAGTGGTGGTGAGCGTCCCACGGGTGGTGGTGCAGCAGAGCTGGGTGGCACTTCTTGTTTTGCCTCAAAATGGGACGTACCTCAGGATTCCAGAACTTACAGCTGTCAGCCCAAGTGGGGCTCGCTAGTTCGGGGAGGAGGTGTGTGATTCCTCAGCTGGAGTAGGCTCAGGACAGGTGAGGCTCACATGCCTCATCAAGCTCAGAAGGTATAAAATGAAAGCCGTTCTGGCCAGGCCAGCGATTTGGACTGGAGCCACAGTGTGGAAAGAAAGGATGAGTTTGCCCACATGGGATCTCCAATGTGGTGTGCCCAGCCCCTACTCACAGTAGTCCTATGTTGTGAAATGTGGTGTTTGGGGGTGGGGTTGATTGGGATACTGCCTGTTTGTTGGTGATGGGTTTTTTAAATATATATACCTGTGGTCAGTACTATTTTTATAGAAAAAGATGTACCGGAAATCAACAGAAACACCTTCCTTGTTCTCCTAGAATGCCATTGGTGTCCACCTGAGAGGTGCCGGAACTGCGGTTCTGTGAGTTCTGGCTGAAAAAAAGCCTTGCCCATGGTGATATTTTGCTGGATGCTGCCTCCCTCCATGCCCTCTACTTCCATTTTGTTTGCATCCGCCCAAAGTAAAGGCTGCAGTCTGCCTTTTCCCACAACCAGGTGCTGAAGGGACAATTTATGGTATTTCTATTTTTACAATTAAAACAGCTCTTTTAGACAGAAATGCATTTGCGCGAAAGAGCAGTATTAAAAATAAATAGTTCCCCTTGCCTACAAGCTGGACAGAAAACACATTTAGCAAAACAAACCTCCCTTGTAAAAGATGCAGGTAGGGACAGATGAACCAGACCGGATTTCATCTTCTGAAGTTAAGTGAACAAGCTAGCTATCTAAAAGGACTTTTCAGTATCAGACCTTTAAATTGGTCACGAATGGACTGAACAGTGGGCTGGGACCTGGGTTCAGATCCTAGCTTTGGAAGCGTTGGCTATCTTCTGTCCATCTTCCTCAGCAGCGAAGAAATAAGCCTCCTTCAATAAGTTGCTCCTAGGATAAATAAACGTGATGCAGTCAGTAGAGTGGAATTAAGAAATTCTGAATTAACACCCTCCAAACAGAATCTGCAAGTTCCATTATCAAATCCAGAGGATACATGATGTTCCATGGCAGGGATAGATCTGTGATTTTCACATGGCAGCAGGCATGGCCTGCATTTTGATGGTTCTTTGGAGGAGGGGGAGAATGAGGATCCCTGTAAATGTGACTTTCCCCTCTTCTCTCCTGTTTGACTGAAGGCATCTCCTGTAACTAAACTTACAGGTGTTAAGGATGAGTACCCAAGGAACACACATCTGCCCCACCTCCACCAAGGACATAATCAGCCAGTCTTTGGGGATGATGGCACTGTGGCTTGGAGGAGAAACCCTTGTGCGATCGAAATGCAAAGCGGGAAAAGTCCCTAAAGGCTATGCATCTCCCATTCTTACAACCAGGTGGGCTAAACTGATGTTGCAAATCTGTTCAGTGAAGCACTGGGAAAAAATCAGAGCCCCTGGTTCCATCACCTTTAGCACTGAGTCCCAGGACACCTTGTCCGCTCTCCTTTTGCTTCGGTCTTTGAACGACAGCTGCCAACGGAATGATTGACGTCGTTCCGGACTTTTCACCCAGCCTTCCGACCACGGAGATGTCAAGCCGGCCACTCCCTCGCGGCGGAGTAATCCTTTGCTCACCCTAAATAGGCCCTGCGTGCTGGCGGTGTTCCCTGCCGGAGGATAAAGATAGAGAGGCGCTGCCCCTTTAAATAGTAAAGGGTGTTCTCTCTCAGGCCACCATGACATATCTGGGCGTTGGAACGGGGGCTGAATAAACGGGGCGAGCACGAGACCTGCGGATGCAGTAAAGGGTTTGCAACCAGCAAGGGCTCACTCGGCGCGCACAGGAGTTTAGAGGCAGATCTGCTTCTGTCCGAGGTCCAGCAACTGGAGTTTAATCCCACCTGGCTCTCGCTTTCTAGGGAATACTGCTTGGGGAAAAGAGCAAGCTCTTTGGCCTTGGTAAGTTGTTTATTATTTTTATTATTAATTAATAAACGCTCAGATCTAGCAGACATCAGTATTGGGACAGCCTTTCCTCTTACCGGCTTGGGGGTGCCAAAGATTCACGCGGAGCACAACTTCGAGAAACGCGGTGGCTGTTCTCTTAATTCGGATTGCCACCGATACAACACTCTAGAACTGATGCTAGAGTTCCACTGCTCCGGTTACTATGGGCGGGAGGTGGTGGTGGTGGTAGGAAGACAGGTGGCAGAGGTCTGTCAGGTGTGAAATCCTAGCAATGCCATCAATTTAAAGGGTGAGAGATGCTTCCCCCACCGTCGGATTCCTCTCTGGGTGTCAGGTGAGCAGTACACAAATGCAGATAAATGAAATCGAGAGAGGAACGGATGTGATCGGCTTGAGAGAGAGCGCGCAACATAGGCAACAACAGGTTTTGGGGTGAGGGTGGCCGGGACAAACCTGAGCCTTCTGGCCCAGGATCGATCGGACGCAGCTTGCTCTTGCACGCATCAGCTGGGGGGGGGGCACAGAGCGGTTAAAAAACCCACCGGGAACACGCCAGAAAACGAATCAAGAGCAGCTATAAGGAGAGTGTAGGGTAGCGGTCTCTTCTCGGGGTTACCGATGGAACGCCTTGCGCGTGTGTTGTGTGCCACGCACTGCATCCCACCCCAGTGAGACGAGCTCAGTGTGGAAAAGGAGGCGCTTAATGGACTTTGGCGTGGACGGACTGTGCTGAATCCGTTGTGCCTAGCTGAGCTCCCTAGGCACGTCAGGCCGTCGGCCTCTTCTTCCTCTGGATCCCCGGAGCCCACCAGCGGCTCCATGGTAGCTGCGCCTACCTGGCCATCGCGCCCCCGTCCTGCGCCCTTCTCTTCGAGGGATTTGCACCCGCAGCCATCCGAGGACGACCGGACGCGAAGATCACCACCACCGCCGCCGCCTCTTGACCCGCCTTGCGTTTCAGGAAGGAACATCGCTTTCCCAGGACCGGAGAGGGGAGAGTGCTTTTACCGCGGGGCCACGATCTTTCCCAAGCCCTCCGCCATAGCAGTCAACTCCTAGGGGCTGAAGTCCCTTTGCCCCCCCCTAAAATATTTGAGTTGGTGCGCATTGCTATTCCTATGGTGTCTGTGCCCCTCATTTTGTAATCAATTATCTGGGGCGGGGCTTACCTGGGCCCCCCAATATTTTATTCAAGTTGGCACCCCTGCCTTCCGCTTTTCCACTGGGGATGAGAAAGAAAGAAAGAAGGAAGGAAAGAAAGAAAAGCCCAGAAGAGGAACTGTAGCTATCCGGGCTTGGATTTCTGGGGCCCACGATCCAAGGCGGCCGCTCCATTGGCAAAGCGATCGTCCGCGCGCTCTCCCTTTTCCTTTCCCGTCCGGGAAAGTATTTATAGACGCCCGCCCGTTTCTCCTGCCCGTCGGTTTACGCCGGCGCCCTGGACCCGCCCTGCTTGGCGCCCGGCCACCATTGGGCGTTGTTCTTGGGGTCCCGCCCATTCGCGGGCTCACTCGATCTTCGGACAGGGAGGCACGCGGGCGCCCGCGCAGTCTTCGTCGGAGAGAGCGAGTGGCCAGGTCGCCTGCCAGAGGGAGCGCGAGCTTTTATTTTAATTTTTTGCAGACCAGTAAGTAACCCGCCTGTCTTCCCAGCGCATTCTTTTACAGATAGATATTTGGGGTGGAGGGGAGCAAGAGATTTTTCCACTGAAGCGCCCCCTGGGACCTCTCTTCGCAACCGGCCCCATGGCCCCTTTCCGGCCCGTGCGCGCACTCTAGATTTGGATTATAACATCATCAGCAGCCCCACCCAGCCTTCGACCCCTGGATGCGGGACCCTACTCGACCCAGCTCCCCAGAAAGTTTATCGGGGGCTCGCTGCGTGTTGAAGCCTGTTGCACTGAACCCCACTTTGTAGGACTATTGTGTCTAGCGGTGAGAGCGGGGTGGAGAGCTCTCCCCAAGGCTTCGCGCCGCTGAGAAAGTCCGCTACTCCAGGCTGGGGCTGATATAATTAGAAACGGGTTGAAACATTTTAGCACGTAGATCTTTCCCCCTCCTCTCCCCCCACTCCGCCGGCCCTGGAAGAATTCCATTCCTCATAACAGTCGCTTGGCAGATTTTGAAGTGTGCGTAAAGGGGAGCGCGAGGAGAGTGCATGGCGCTCTTCTGTGAAAGAAAACTTGCCTAGAGAGATTTCTCCCATTTGATTATAAAGATCCCCCCACCCAAACTTTTTACAACAGTATTTCTAATAACTGATCCCCTAGTCCCTCCGAATCCGCAGGACTTGATCGTTGTGCCTGCTCCCCAAATCCCATCTCTCCCACAACTGGCCGCCTAGGAATCTCGCCCCCCATATACCCAAAAAAGAGGGAAACCCATGGTTTTTTTGTGTGAATTTCATGCAATATCTGTATTTTTGTACAGTTTCCATTCTATTTAGAAGCTGTGGGGGAGATAGCTGGCGGGCTGCGTTTGTGGGGCTGGTGGTTTAATGGGCTCCAAATGTTGATTATTCAAGGGAGAATGGTGGGTTTGTGGCATAACGGTTTCCATTTCCCGCCTCCTGAGCCAGTGGAGGTCTGGTCCAAGTGGGGAGGCTGTTTTCCTGTTTTATTTTAGACTCTTTTCTTTTCTGCTTTGGAGCGCTTTCTTAAGCACTCATTTAGAAAACAGATACTTGATATATGTATATATCACCTCATCATCTGCTGGCTGTTTGGGAGCAGAGTGCAACCCCCCCCCCCCGCAATAAAATGGAAACTTTGAGGAATGTGATGTCGTTTGAGTTTTTCCATATGCCAATAGTCACCATAAGTTTTCCAAATCTTGAGGGTGGGGGCAGGGAGGGGAAGGAATCCAGCCCTGAAAAGGGAAATAATCTAAAAGATGTGATATTTTAGGGAGAGCTTGGAGGGGAGTTTCAGAACATTTATTCTGACCCCCTCAGCTCTGTTTGCCTTTTGATGGGTATGTTCACTGCACCAGGCTCTGGGTCTGGTTTATTTCAAATCTCACCCTTTACTTTCCAAACCTGCCAAATTGGTTGGATTTCTTCAGACATGCAAGATTAATTACTCCCTGCCCTGCCCCGTTTGGCTAGATCTCCTAGTCAAGAAATTTGAAAACTTCCCATCTGCCTCCACCATCAGTGCACATTCTCTGCCCCCTCCTCCATACACACACACACACACACACACACACACACACATATATATGATGTATATTATTTTTTCATGCATTTATTTAGCTTCGTCAAACCATATGGTGTATATTTTCTGTCTCAGAGGCACCCTCTGCTGTTCGTGTCTCAAAATTAGACTTGCCTCATCATCCCAGTATCATGTAGAAGGCTGTTCACTGGTAACCTTTCTCCCTTTACTTAAATGTGTGTGTGTTTTCTTTTTCCCTTCCAGATCTATCCAACACTTTTGCCAAAATGCTCCTTTTGTTGTTGGGAATCATTGTGCTCCATGTTTCAGTGCTTGTCCTTCTCTTCGTCTCAACAATTGTCAGTGTAAGTACGAACACCCCTCATTTGTTTTCCAATTCCCTTCCAAGCTGCTAAAGGACAGGAGGGTGAACCAGAGCTTTTGAACTCTGGTCCTAATGCTCTCTGCCTGTAGATGCGATTCCATTGGAATCTGTAGTTTACTTTGCATTTGAAACTGCACTTTCTCCATTGAACTCAGTGAAAGGTCTGAGCAAACATGTTAAGGTTAGGCTGTTTCTGTTTGCAACCCCAATGCTTCTTTATGGAACTGATCACGATGGAGATCCAATGGCTTCTCATGAAAAAGGAAGCTGTTGCAGCCAAAATGGCTCCCAAATGACTTCATTGTTTGCGTCGCAAGAATAGCTGAAGAACCGTTTGTTTTTTCGGAGATCAGGTTTCTGGAGCGTGCGAGCATCTTGAAGCATATGAAACCTTTATAAATAATGTTAGTCTTTGCTAGTTAAAAAGAAAAGCCAAACTAGGAGAGCCACAAAGCTTTGTTAAATCTGAGCCAGGACTCTGTCCCAGAACTGGTTTTAAGTTCTAGGAAAGAGAGAGAACCTGAAAATCTACAGAGCACATTTCCCTCTCCACTAAGTGACTTGCTTATACAGTCAGCCACTACATATTCAGCATTCAGGAGAAGAATTACTATGCTGCTGGATGCCTTCACGTTTCCATATCTGTTAGCTAATCTGTTACCTTAGGCAGAGGTGTGTCAATGAATGCCTGATTGTAATCAATTGTGTGAGCAGCTTGTTTCATTTGCATGCTTTTCAATAAGGTCTTACCAAAAAAAACACAAAAAAACAGCCAATGGATGTGTTGGGAGTGGGAGGTGAAGCTTGGGGAACTGGATTTCCCTTTCCCTGTCGATTTGGCAAAAGCTTAAAGAGAGAGGTGTTTGCTTTTTCTTTGAACTCTCTCTCTCTCCTTTTGCAATGGATGCAAATAATGAAATTACAAAGCACTTTTTCTTTATTTCAGTCAATTTAAATAGGATTGTGTTTGGTTTTTGTGTGCCTCCCGCCTCGGAAATAAGCTTTTAGTTATGCACAAAGGTTTTTTTTATCTTTTTTTTTTTAAAGAAAGCTTAAAATGCCTCTTTACTGCTCAGGGTTTCATTTCAGTCCTTAAGGACAAAGCAAGAACAGACATGCAGATGAACTTGCACCAGGAAAGGGATCACTTTTAGTACATGGTTTCTCTCAGTGCTTAGTTTGTATGTGGCCCTGCTCCTTTTAAACTTCCCCTCCTCTCACTGTGTTCTGTCCTTCCCTTTCAGCAATGGCTCATTTGGGATGGGCACACATCAGCCCTTTGGCAGAACTGCACCCTCCAGGGGTCCCTGAGTTCGTTTCAATGCGCCAAAACGTCTGCAGATGGTAAGGATTCTGTCACCTTTTCTTCACTTTGCCTCCTATGATACCTTTTTAGAAATAGATTTGACAATGAGCTAGTCCTCAGGGCCTGCTCTGAGTGCAGTTTGGGTGAAATCCTGCACCCTAGTCACATCAGTGTGTGTGTGTGTCTTGCAATGTTCTTCTCACTGTTTAGCCCATGTTGCTCAAGGGATGGCCATCTGCCATGGATGCTTTTGCTGAGATGGATGCCCCATGGGATCTCTTCCAGCTCTACGATTCTAAGGACCTACATCTTCTGACTTCTTGCCAAACCTTTCAGAAAACCTAGAGTCCGCTCTGTAACATTCTTTTAAAAGAGAAAGAAAGAACTGGCCCACCATTCTTAAGATCATGTGAACTTACAGGAATGTGTGAAACTGCCTTATACTGGGTCTGTCCATTGGTCCATCTGGCTTGGTATTGTCTACCCTTGGAGCACATCTTCAGGGCTTCATGGATTCTGCTCTACCTGGAGATGCCAGGGGGTTGAACCCGAGATCTTTTGAATGCAAATTATGTGGTCAACCACTGAGCTATGGCTCTTCCCCTTCTGTTGCCTGGCTTTCTGATAGAGAAGAAAATATTATCCATGAATAGTTAATACAGAGATGGCTGCTTAAAACATAATCTTGTGTATGATGTACTCTGGCTACCTACCCACCCACCTCTGCCTACTCACCCGCTCACTACTTGACATAAGCTTATGTCAACATATAAAATCTAGCCTCACTTGCTGTGTTTTGAGTCTTCGTTGTGAACAAAACCTGTATAGGTGGCACACTCTTAGTGGCCTAATGGACAGCTCTGTGGGTCAGAATATTCTACAGGCTGGATCACAGTTGTGTTTTGAAGATAAGCTAGAAAGAACTGTAATATATTTGGCACATTAAGGCTGCAGTCCTGTGCACACTTACCTTTGAGGAAGCCCTATAGTACACAGTAGGTCTTAACTGGTCAGTGAACATGCATTGGATTAAGCTGTAGAAGCTGTTAATAGCAGGTAAAACCAGGATTCATGTTCAAGAAAGTCCCAGGGGAAATGTAAGTTGGCAACTTTCCTAACTTGCCACAGAGTTGCTGCTGGTTTTTGTTTCATCTCTAAGTATCCAAACATTTCTGCTTACTTTTTTGCTTGCAGTTGATTTGTATTTGTTACTATCACTGCATACAGCTTGTTCACACATCTCACGTTGGCTTGTATCAAAATACTTCCATGGCTTAATGGCTAGAGGTATCTTGTTTCCACAACACAGGAGTTGGATAATTCAGAAGTTGGTGAATCATAAATCTTCTGCACTCAAGACAATTTAAGCCACTGACATTATTATTAACTAATTAGATGTGAATGCTATGGGGAAAGGCTTATTGTAAGGCAACCATGATTCTTTTGCAGCATTTTATTCTTCCTACAAAAAGGAATCCTTTGCTAAGAGGCCAGTAACTAGTTAAGGCAGGAGTCTGGGAACATGCATACATATCAAGTTTTCTCAATGGACAGATGGGTGCAACAGATATATTGACACCATAGCTTTAGCTATTATACTTGTTTTATGAATTGTCTGGAACTAGAGGCAAACAAGGAAGTAGTCAGGCCTACTGATGATCTACTCAAATTTATGACAGCAAAATACCATGCAGGTAGCAAAGACTCTTTTAAATCCAGTTGACAGGACGAAAAGATGGCAGCTTAGATTTTGGAGCAAGTTTGTATCACTGTTTTCTTCACTCCATATAATTTTTTTTTAAAAAAAATAATAAATTATGGAGCTAGAGAGGGTACAACAAAAACCGCCACAATTAAAATGATGAGGGGATGGACACTCTTTTCATCTGAATAAATGTTTACGAATTTGAGGGTGGGGCATGGCGTCCAAAAGATGGTCACCAACTTGGATGGCTTTAGAAGAGGATTAGAACAGTTAATGGAGGATGAAACTAATAATGGCTGCAGTCAATTGTTTTGAATATGAGTATGAATATTCCTCTGAATACCAGTTGCCAGGGCTCATGAGCAGGCAAGTTCTGTTTTGCTCCTGCCCTACTTGTGAGCTTCCCTACTTGTGAGTAGTCAGGCCCACTGATGACCTACAGAATGCTCAACAGTGGAGGCTGGTCTATCAAGTGGGGTGTTTCACCTCCCTTCAGCCAGCTCCCTCCTCTTTGCCTTCTTTCTTACATCCAGCCCAGAGGATGGCACTGGCTGTTAGTTTCCTCTTTCTTAGTTTCAATGTTGCCACTGTAGAACACAGTGGGGAGGAGGATGGGGGCAGAACTAGTCGGCTCTGCCTCTCACTGGCTCTGGCTCCACCTACTGTTGGACTCCTTGCCTTCCACCCCACCAGTCCCAATGGGCACCAGCCACCACAGATGCTGGACTAGGAATCCTTTAGTCCCATGGTGGCTAAACTTGACCCTCCAGCTGTTTGGGACTACAACTCCCATCATCCCTAGCTAACAGGACCAGTGGAAATGTAGTCCCAAAACAGCTGAAGGCCCGAGTTTGGCCACCACTGCTTTAGTCTGATCCAACAGGGCTCTTCTCCCTTAAGGAAGGCGTGGAGGGAGTGTAACTTGCTTTCTATTAAATGAATTAATTGAGTATTAAACTTTGATTCACAACCTTCTGAATATCTGGGGAGTCCTCTGAGTATGTAGAAGCCACTCCCTTACATTTGTTGCACCCCCTAAGCAATAGGCAGTGGCACACAACCACCTGAGTTTGCTATTATGTTAGACATGGTAGCTAAAAATGGAACCTCTGAGTTCACTGGAGGAATATTAAGTGCTTGGAATAATCAGTGGGGGAGAGCTCTCCCATTGGGATCATAATCATGCCTTGCTTATAAGGCCTCTAAAAGCTTTTGTTGGCCACTGGAGTAGATGAATGTTTGGTATGATGCAGCAAGACTATCCTTACGTACTTGTAGATTTGCAGCTGCACTGTGTGGGAGCAAAGCATCTCCTCCCATTCTCCAGAGTTAAAATCTTAAACCTAGATGATGTAAGCAGAAGCTGAATTTTGCCCATGGAAGAAGGTGGAGAGGGAGAAACCATTTTGGAGTTATGACCCAAACTGGGCCGTTTTCCATTTCAGTTTGTAAATAATCAGTCTCCTAAGATTGTTCTTCTACCCAGCTCAAGTCCTGGAATTTCTTAGCAGCTGTGGGCTGCAGTCCTATACACCCTAATCTGAGAACTAATCTGAGTAGACATGCGTAGGATTGGGCTGTTTGATGCTGGGCCTTAGTTGCTGATAGTGTTTCAAAATTCCAGTGACCTCCCCAGTTTGTTCTTAGGGTGTGGCAAAGATGGCGTTTCCTAAGATATTGTGCACCTGCTATCAACCACCATTCTACTTGTGGTTTGCTTCTGTTCTGAGGATGCCCTAAGGAAAATCCATATCATAGTTGTTGTTGCCTCCTACATCACACTGTCTCCTAAGGTCATGTGGCTTTGAGGGCACTTAGTGATTACAGATGTTCCTTATTCCATCATAGTTACTGAAGAGCAGATTTCCTCTAGTCATAACTTGGCCACTTTGAGTATCTTTTCAATGAGACACTAGGAGTTGAATCCCAAAGTATTTCTTTAGGCATAGTCATGCAATGTGAATTGCTCCACTTCTGTATCCCCTCCAGGCACATTTTTTCAAAAGCTGACTAGAGTTGAAATGTTCTCAAATCAGTGCCTTGAAATTGGGCATTTATTTAGGTAATAATTAAGAGTTAATATTAAAATTGTGGTTGTGCAATGGGCCATCATTTTTGTTCTTAGTTTAGAACAGCTCGCTCCAGTAGGATGATAGTTGGTGTTTCCATGGGAGCTGGAAATCTCATGGGTTGAAGGAGAGCTTTGTGACAATCGGTGGGACTGGCCAGTCAACATTAACTGTGAAGCAAATCTAGGAATTGATGCCTAATAGGAACTGAAGTGCAGTCACTCCACACATCACCCAGGTAGGTGTTCAGGGAATTAAATAATAATTGTGATGTGGCACTATTGTGGAAGGTCACACTTCTTGTATTCATTTAGAAGTTCCTTAACAACTTGGTCCAGGATACCTTGAAGACTGCTCAGTACCTTATATCCAGTGTGATTATTGAGGTTTTCAGGGGAGTCAGTGTTAGTGATTCTCCATGGTTCAGATGCATAGCTCACTTCCACCAGGAGTGTTCAGTATTGTGAGTTCAATTCTGTGGAACTCCCTGCCAGTTGAACAGGGAAGGTGCCTGTTTGATGTCAACTTCTGGCACTTATTGAAGACTTCTAAAAACACATCAGTGGGCATTTTAAGTGGGATTCCCCCCCCCCCCCGATTTTTAATTGCTTTTATGTTGTATCCTTCATGTATGCCTCTTGTATTGGAAATGACAGTATTAACTGGTATATAAAATATGAAGAATAAGGGGGAAAGGATAGAAGCAGAATTTAAAAACTGGTTGGTATTTCCATACAACCTATGGACTGCCAGGTGTAGTTGAACTCTGACTCCTATCATCCCTGACCATTTGACATGTTCACTGGGCCTGATGGGAGCTGGGGTCCCGCAATGTCTGGAGGGCGTCAGAGTTTCCCATACCTGACGTACAAGATGAGTTGGAGACCTGAGGCTTGGGAAGGGGAGACATGGTTGCCTACTTGCATAGTTTGGGACAGTGACTGGTTGCTTGTTTTTCGTTTTTGTTTTTAAATATGGACCTTTATTCTTCTCTCACTCGTGTGGCATGTCCATATGAACATATTTCTGGCAGCATTTTCTCTCTAGAATCCTTGACTCCAGGGAATGGGAGCATGTTGTGTGTTGCAAACAATGAGCTGCTTTTGCTCTGTGGAAAGTTTACGAAGGAACTGGTGTGACCTTCTAAATCGCTGCAGTATATTTCATGCTGCAGCTCTGTGATACCCTGGGTTTAAAAGATCCCTAGGTGCCCAGTAGCTGTTGTGGGAGCTCAGCGTGGAGGCTTCTGCTGGAATGTTAAACT